AAGAAATGGAGAAAACAAAAAAAGATCTAAGAATAAGGAATAAGCTACATTAAAAAGTAGACATGAGAAGATCTGGTACACCAAAAAAATGCTATATTTAAGTGTAAATCAGTAAGTTTAAAACTTATAAGTATGTTCTGAAACACGCCTTTTCTTTTTGCCAGTCCTGGGGCTTGAATTCTGGGCCTGAGTGCTATCCATGAGCAACTTTTGCTCAGCGCTAGCGCTCTAGCACTTGAGCTACACCAGTGTCACTTCTGGCTTTTTCTGTAATTGGAAAAAGGAGTCTCATGGCCTTTCCTGCCCAAGCCGGCTTCAAACTGCGATCCTCAGATCTCAACCTCTTAAATAGCAAGGATGACAAGTAGGAGGCACCAGTGCCCAACTGTAACTTATCTTTTGAAGAAATCCAGACCTTTTTTGTGGAATGGATTTATATTCTCCATAGAAAAATCTATAAACAGATGTATGCTAAAAATACCTGTTGTCTCTGAGTAGAAGGATTAGCCAAGCTTTGTTTTATTTTTATCTACATACGTGTTCTAAAATGAATACGTACAACACATTTGGATTTTTAAAGATAAAAGAGTTTGATAGGAAAAGGGAAATACAGTAAAACTGAAAGTATATTTAACAGCATTGCACTAGTGTTAGGCTAAATAAAATGCTAAGATTAAGGGAAGCTAGACACACAAATAATACACGGTTCCTTTGAACTTTCCTTAATACATTTTCTGTAAATCTAAAATAATTACAAATAAAAGTATTTTAATACAATAATGCAAGTACTAATGGCACTTTTTAAACAGAATGAACACAAACTTTCTGTGCCAGTAATGGGGCTTGAGCTCAGGGCTAAGGCACTGCCCATTTGCTTTCTTAGCTAAGGTTCGCAGTCTACCACTTTAGTTACAACTCCAATTCTGTTTTTTTTTTCCTGGTTAATTGGAGATAAACTCCTGGAGGGCTTGGAATGTGGCTTAGTGGGTGAGTGCTTGCATGAAGCCCTGAGTTCGATTCCTCAGTACCACATAAACAGAAAAGGCTAGAACTGGTTCTATGGTTCAAGTGATAGAGCACTAGCCTTGAACAAATGAAGCTTAAGGCCCCAAATTCAAGTCCCAGGACTGGCAAAAACAAAAAGAAGCTTGTGGACTTTTTTTAACCCAAACTGGTTTCAAACTCTGATCCTGAATAATTCCTGCTTAGTCTGGCTTTGAACCACAATCCACAAATCTCAGTCTCCTGAGTAGCTAGGATCGGGCATGAGGTACTGCCTCAAAGTTTTTCTACTCTAGAAAAACAAATGAATTCAGTTACATCATCCCCACATATAAACAAGAGTATGGTCACATAAAATCTTTGGCAGTAAGCCATTATAACTTCTAGCATTACAACACAACGTTGTAAAGACAATTATATCATCTGGCCTCTCCTAAATATGAAAGAGATATCAGTCTACTCACTGAAGCAGACAACAAATTGTTAAAGCTCTACTTACTTGGTTTTATAAACATCAATACAGAAGATTACCATAATAACATTACTCAAGAGAGAAGAAATTGGAAGCTAAAGATAGCCAATGACGACCCTTTTCCTTCATAATGTATATTTTTAATCTAGTTTCTCATACCAAGTAGTTACAAATATACATGCATACTTTTTTTTCACAATTCAACTAGCATGGACTCTGTTCTACTCTTATGGAGACTACTGTTTAAAAGATAGTATCTTAAGTGGCAAGTAGCCTAGAACAGAGAGCTAGATACATAAGCAGAATAGAAAAGGAAGGTCATCCACGAGGAAATTCACAACCATATAATAATAGTGCAACCAAATAATGATTATAGAATTTTCACACATTAATAATACTAGCTGATTATAGACCTTTTACAAGTGAATACTAGAAACCCTCTGCAATTATCCAGTTATACCTGTTACTGCTTAGGTAACAGTTGAATATTCTAGATTGTTACTTTAAACTTAAATTCATTTTTCCTTCAAATATTATTTTTCCTTCAAATATTTGGTCACAAAAAAGCATACAGAGGAAAAGATTAAAGTGTCAGAAAGCACAAACAAAACTGGAGGTCTTGCTGGGCACCAGTGGCTCACACCCATAATCCTTGCAATTTAGGAGGCTGAGATCTCAGAATTGTGATTTTAAGCCAGCTTGGCTGGGCAGGAATTGTCCATGAGACTCTTGTCTCCGATTAACCACTGAAAAACCAAAAGTGGAGTTTGTGTCTCAAGTGGTAGAATACCAGCCTTGAGTAAAAATGCTAAGGGACAGCACTCAGGCCCTGAGTTCATGCCCTAGTACAGGCACAAAAATACATAAATCTAAAAGGTCTTGATCAATTTGACTAGCCAGCTGTCTGGTTAAATTGTTGCAGTAAATGAAAAATTTGGAGTAAGTTAATTCCACTGTGGAACAGACCTAATGGAGGTTTCATTACTTAAGTATTTAAAATAAAATAAGCACTTCTGCAGAGGCCTTTATATGCAGCAGGAAGAACATACATAGCTCTGGGATATAGCTCAGTGGTAAAGCATTTACCTAGCAAGCTCAAGCCTCTCTGCTTAGTCTCCAACACAGCAGAATAAAATAAAATAAGAACAGGGTTTTTTTTTAATAAATAAGAACTGTTAAGAGTACTAAAAATTCTCAAACACAGCCGAAGTCTTTTTCCCTTGTCAATGAAATACTGTTTGAAGAAGAAGGGGAATTATGAATCACTATACAAAGGTCAGCCAAGAACCCTGCTGCAATTTCAAGTATTGATATTTCCTCTTAGTAGATACTGTCCATAAATCCCTAATGAATTTAGCTTGTGCTACATCTGCAATGCAAAGTGCCTTTAAGACATTCCTTTGCAGATACTGTTGTGATTATTTAATTTCAAAAATATAACATCTTGATAAACTAGACAGTAATTCAATCCTTCTTACCACATTGGAAACCAATGTCAACTCTAGTGACAGATAAATAGTTTGAGCTGGGTACCAGTGGCTCATACCTGTAATCCTAGATACTCAAGAGGCTGAGATCTGAGGATCCCAGGAGAAACCCAGCCAGGACAGGAAAGTCCATGAGACTCTTATCTCCAATAAACCACCAGAAAACCAGAAGTGGCACCGTGGCTCAAGTGGTAGAGCCCCTGCCTTGAGATGAAGAGCTGAGGGACAGTGCCCAGGCACGGAGCTCAAGCCCCACAACCGACTAAAAAAAACAAAAAGATAAGATTATTTTTGAAGTGTATGGAATAATGAGCTGCTTACTCTTCTTCTAAACCAAAGTTAAGGTCAACACAAGAGATAGTTGTGCAATGTTCTCTTTGATCATACCTCCACCTTAAGTTCTACCGGTTATAGTAGAGCATCTTACAGACCACATTCTTTTTTAAGAATAAGGAAGATATTATCAATGTTATGGGTTCAATACCCTCATTGCATAGTTTCGAGGGCCATTGTGCCTGAAGGTAGACAAAGAACCACACTGAGGCTTACATCCTGGTGGAAAAATCCTGGTGGAAGTGGTACTGGTAAGGTCGGGGGGACCAAGAAGAGTGGTCTGTCTAACAATAGCAAGACATGAGTGTAGACCTGGTAAAGGACCAAACTCCGAAAATTTAGAGAATAATTCCACAAGTTAGCTCAATGCAACCCAATCAGGTTAACTATCAGTGAGTTATAATTTGAATCACTGATTTTCTTTAAAGAGGATAATCCCATTACTCAGAAGGCTTACCCAAAAATGGAGTGGGGGAGTGGGGGATTTTATCAGGGCCCACAAGTCTAAGAACAATTTTGTCTTAAAAATTTTTTTTGGGGGGGGCTAGTCCTGGGGCTTGAACTCAGGGCCTAGGCACTGTTCCTGAGATTCTTTTGCTCAAGGCTAGCACGCTACCACTTGAGCCACAGCACCACTTCTGGCTTTTTCTGTTTATATGGTACTGAGGAACCAAATCCAGGGATTCATGCATGCTAGGCAAGCACTCTACCACTGAGCCACCTTCCCATCCCAGTCTTAAAATTCTTAAGTCACTTCTCCCAATGCATTTTCTCTCTTTCTCTCTCTCCATGTATGTATGTATATAAAGGTGTGTGTATATATATAAATATATATGCCCATATATACACACATATATGGATACATATACATATGTATACACACACATATATACATATATGTATGGATATATGTACATATACCACATATCCATGATAATGTAATAAATGTTATGCCATAAAAAGGCCAATCAAATAAAATGATAGAAATTGACTATGTTGAAAACAATTCTTGCAACCAAACTTAGCTACTCATTTCAAAATGAGGTACTTTTATCTTATTAAAACACCATGTAGCTGGGAGCTGGTGGCTCACGCCTGTAATCCTAGCTACTCAGGAGGCTGAGATCTGAGGATCACAGTTCAAAGCCAGCCCGGGGCAGGAAAGTCTGCGAGACTCTTATCTCCAATAAACCACTAGAAAACCGAAAGTGGCACTGTGGCTCAAGTGGTAGAGTGCTTGCCTTGAGCTGAAGAGTGCAAAGACAGTGCCCAAGCCCAGAGTTCAATCCCCACAACCAATAAAATACCATGTAATTACTCATGCAACTGGAATTCCTCTGTACAGCATCTTTACAATAAAATAAAATGAAAAAATATCACATTTAAAAACTAATCTTACCCTTTAGAAAGAATGACCAAGTATTGAGTTAATTTTGCAGACTTTTCCTGGAGTCACTGTTCAACAAACTGAACACAGCAGAGCTTCTTAATACACCACTTAGATTAAGGAACATCAATTTCAACTTAGTTTTTAAATAAAATATCCCGTAAGTATAAACTCCACTCCAGATTCCTTCAAACATTTTGGTTTTTAATCTTCAGTTTTCAAGGGGCTGTTAAGTTTTTCAAAATTCAAGGTACACTCTGGCTACAGATCATAAATTCACTCTGTCCACATCTTTAGAAACAGCATATATACTTCTTACCTGCTGGCAGTGCCCTAAGCAAGATGACCCTTAAGTCAAAGGTGGGACACACAAGCAGCAACCAGTCTTCCCTGGTAGATGACAACTGGAAATAAGATGTAAACAAATACTTTATCCCTATGTGGCTAACAAGTATATAAGATCTAGTATAAATTTTTTAGAAAATTACCAGCTATCTGAAACTTGTATTTAGAAAAAATCTCCTATTTTACTGTTACTTCTATCACAGACTAATCACTCCACAGAAATATTTCATGTAACCAAGCAACAACAGCACAAATGCAAAGAGTCATAGAGATAAGACAGGGATTGGAGAGTTTTCCCACCACAGAATGTTTTCCTTCCAAATGTGAGAGCCACCATCTTTTGTGGAGCACTTATCTCTTTATACCCTTCATGAGTTATGACTTAGGGCAACTGGAAGGGCTAGTGTCTTTTTAATCATAGTGATTATTGTGTACTCCATTCAATTCTAGCCAAACAAGTCCCAAAAGAAATGCAAAGATAGCTGGGCACCAGTGGCTCATGCCTGTAACCCCAACTAATGAGGAGGCAGAGATCTAAGGACTGTGGTTCCAAGCCAGCCTAGGCAGTAAAGTCCATAAGATTCCTATCTCCAATTAACCACCAGAAATCCAGAAGTTGTGCTGTGGCTCAAAGTGATAGAGTGCTAGCCTTGAGCACAAAGACCAGGGACAGTGCCCAGGCCCTGAGAGTTCAAACCGCATGACCAACAACAGTAACAAAAAAATACAAAGACAAAGCTGAGCTATTAAACTGATGTTGGGAAATCTAAGACAAAGAGAAGCTGGGGAAATCACCATGAAGGTTTTTGATTTTGCAGTTGTTTCTTCTAAAACAGCCCTTAATGACACCTGTCATTAAGCCCAGTATCCACCCTTTTATCCCTGGCAGTTATGTTCCAAGTGGTCCTCAGATGCCTGAAACTGTGGATCATACTAAACTCCTTATGAGCTATTTGTTTCTAAACAAACATACCAATGATAAGTTTAATTTATAAATTAGGCACAGTAGATTAATAACAATAACAAAATAGAACCATATAACAATGAACTGTAATAAAGGTTATTTTTAATTCACAAGTTGTTCACTTCTGGAATTTTCCATTTAATATTTTCAGATTGTGGTTGACTATGGGTAACTGAAACTGTGGAAAGTGAAACTACAGCAGATAAGAGGAAACTGCTGGCTTCTTTATGGGCTATTTCCTAAGGAAAGCTCCTTTCCTTCAAACATTTTAATCTCTAGTTATCAAGAGGATGTTAAAAATTAACATAAATATATTATACAAGCAAAAAACCTGTTTTCACATTAAAATGCTTGCCTGTCGAGTTGACACTAAAACCAGAAGCTAAATCAAGCAGTACAAATAATTCTGGAGGAACTTTGAATCGAATAACACAAAAACAAACTCCTTAGGTTATTTTGCTTATAAATATGTCACATGTAGGAAAATTTGCATGAATATGCTCATACTGACATTTCTATTGGGGGAAATAAATACTACATTGCTTCTCAATTAAGGGTTAAATAATTCACCAAAAGTACATCTGAGCACTATCTTTTTTAGTTTCTGCCTTTTGGAAACAATTTACTTCACAGAAATTCTAATCTACCAGTGTCAAGGATTTGTCTGCACACAGAGGGAATCCCAATGCCTTCTTAAATGCTTTTTGGTCTTGTTTTGGTATCTGATGCTTTCTGCACCTCAAATATTCCAAAGGCTTTAAATCATCTTAGACTAACTCTGAAATTGACTTTTGACCAAATATAGAAAGTTTCCGTGGTTCCAGTTGATGGGATGTTATTATCCTTAGCCTGCTTTTCCCTCTTCTGTTCTACTTGTCAGAAACATTATTCATGTGACAATTGTTATAACTACTTCTGCCCAGTTCTATCCTTCTGTAAAGTTAGAATTTTTCAACTATGCTTTTACGCTGCTTCTCAACTTAGTATCTTTGTGATCATGGCATGTTTCATTTGGCTTCAACCCATCCAATTTTAGTGTGAGCTCTCTTCTCAAAGCCATGATTGGGTTTTAAGTTCATTCATGAAGTTCCTGTTTCCTGTCTGAGGGAACTTCCCAGCTTTTTAGTTCATTTAAGAAACATGACTACCCTATTCTGAGCACAATGAACCATCACCATCTTTTTAGAAGTTCTGTCCATTTCTCTAGGATTTTATTTTATGACACATCACTCAGGTACCTTCAGTGGCCCTTCAAATCCTTACTACTAATTTTTAAAAATTAAAATTATATTAAAATAGATAAAGTACACATTGTACAGGTAACAAACAAAATAACTAAGAGAAAGCAGATTATTTCACCAGGCCACTCCACTGCATTAGCCTGATAATAACCACAAGAATCCATCATTAATATTTTCAGCACCTCTCTAATGGTCTACTTTCACATGCCCTCCTCATTAAGTGAGAAACAGAGAATTTCTATTCTGATTCCCCTGTAATGTCTGTCCAGTTGACAGCGCCTCTTAGAGGAAAATCTTCCCACTATGAAATCAATTTCCAAAAGGTCAGGATGAAGACAATCTGGAAAAATAAGAACTGTTACAGTCACCATAACAAAAATGACTAGTTGTGCAGAGTCTTCACATTAACACCACTTTTGCCAAGTTGAATCTTATCTTCTAAAATGTCTTATTGGCCAACCACCAGTGGCTCACACCTGTAATCCTAGCTACTCAGGAGGCTGAGATCTGAGGATCACTGTTCAAAGCCAGCCAGGGCAGGAAAGTCCATGAGAATATTATCTCCAATTAACCACAAGAAAATTGGAAGTGGCACTGTGACTCAAATGGTAGAGCAGTTTTGAGCAGAAGAGCTCAAGGACAGCATCCAGGCCCAGAGTTCAAGCCCCATGACCTCCAAAAAAAAAAGTCTTATTGGATTTGTGGAAAATAATTTTGTTTAAGGCTGCATTAAAAAAGCATTGTATTTCAGTTAGGCATGGGGTTGTATGCCTATTACCACAGTACTTGGAAGGCTGAAGCAGGAAGAAAGTGAATTCAAGGCCAGCTTGAAGCTCTCTGGCCTATATACTTAGATTCCTTCTCCAAAACAACAATGACAACCAAAACAACATACTTTCAACCTCTAAATCTGCATATAAACCCATATAATGGCCCTTTGGAGGATTTAATAAATACCTCTAAATAATAACAGCAGCATACAAAACTATTTCCCAAATCTTGTTGTTCCATCATTGTTCTCCTAATATTCAAATTTGCATGATATAAACAAGGATATCATAGACAAAGATTCATGTTGCTACTATTGCTTAGATTTTCTTTACATGTCTAAGATGTAAAATGAAGAGTTCCGCACTACATACCTTTAGCCAAACATTAGAAACAGAAGTTGATTTTCCTTTGGATAAAAATAAATAATCATTCAAGTTTAGTTTTTAAAACTTCATTATGCCTGGGGGCATTTTAAATGATAAAGTGCCTGTCTAGTGTACAGTCCTGCATTCAAATCCAAGAATTACACAAAAAAATTTACACAACAAGCCAGGTGCTGGTGGCTCACACCTGTAATCCTAGCTACTAAGGAGGCTGAGATCTGAGGATCATGGTTCAAAGCCAGCCCAGGCAGGAAAGTCCATGAGACTCTTATCTCCAATAAACCACTAGAGACCTGGAAGTGGCACTGTGGCTCAAGCAGTAGAGTGCTCGCCATGAGCTCAAGAGCTGAGGAACAGCGCTCAGGCCCAGAGTTCAAGCCCCACAACCAATAAAAAAAAAATCACAAAAAAAAGCTTCCCAATGGCATTTCAACATATTGCACTTATACATCATCACTAGTAACTACAACTTAAATACTGTGAAGCACTGAAAGCTGACATTTCCATAACAACTCACTGCCTGTATGAATGGTCCCACACAATTACAATGAGGCTCATAAATTTTTATCATCTAATAACACTGTGGCATAACCCATTACTCATATTTGTGGTAATATGGTGTAAACAAACCTAGGGCTGCCAGTCATACAACATGCCATCATACACTATGTCTACTAGATGTGTTGTAGGCTATAAGGTAGATTTGCAAAAATACAACTTGTGATGCTCACCCAATGACAAAATGAACACGTTTCTCCGAATATAACCCAACTATGAAGTGTAACATGTTTAGTTAAATTCAAATAGAAGTGAACTGATTCAACACTGGGAACTACAAATTTTCTTGGTGATTTACTTTTGGTGACCAGAGCTTTTCCCCCAAGATGATAGTTGCCCCTAGAAAAATGCTGGATGTCTTCTCTTATTCAGAACCATCAATTGTGAAAAATGCTTGCAGTATAATGTCAAGGTAAAGAAAGCAAGTTACAAACCAATACACATAGCAAGAACTTATTTTTTATGTTTGTTATTGTAAAAAATACTATACAGAGGGGTTATAGTTACATGAATAAGGTAATGAATACATTTTACCTCCTCCTTTGTTTTTCCCCTACCATCCCTTCCCTCCCTACCTCCAGAAATCCTCCTCCCTCACTCCCACCCTGAAGTTGTAAAGATCGTTTTCAACATAGTGTCTTGTATATCTCATTGTTACAATGGGTCAACCTGTATCCTTATTTCATAATTTTATTATTTCCCTTCCCCTCCCCAAACCAGAAAAATGTATACACAAGATGCAGGGCACCAGAATCAAATACAGTGAAAACGGGTTATACCATGGGGGAAGAACATACTAAAGAAACAAAAAATCACATTGTACATTATAAATACTTTAAAAACAATAACAAGAAAGAAAGGTGGTTACCTGTGTCCCTATCTTGGGGTTCATTTCACTTAACATTATCTTATATGGTCATATATACATAGCTTTAAGAACTCATTTTTGTAGAAAGATGCTAAACATGTTTGTACCCGCTCATGAACGTGCCCACATGCATACTGGCAAATGTGCAAATGTAAACATATGTGTATGTACCAGAAAATTAACAATGGATCTGTCTGGGAATGAGATTATGGTATCTTTATTCTTCTTTATAATTCAATGTTGAAATTTAGAAAATACAAATACTATTTTGACA